ATGAACGTACGTTATGCTGAACAGAGGATGTGAATGAAAGGGGTTGTGTCTTGTGTGCTCATCTACATCAATCTAGAGGCATTATAAAGTTAATACTCTGCTTGAATATGAATTACCAACAAATGGTTTGAAAAAGCTGGAAGCACGAATATCATTTAGAAAGCACAATTATATTTATACATAACAAATGCATCCATCGCGATCTTCGTTTCAGGATTATAGAGTATACTATAGACACAGGCAATAAATAAGGCCTCTTGCAAAACTTAATAAAAAATCATGCCAAAAATTATAGTTTTGTATAAAGCATGTAATGCAGGAAGCATCCCAAGATACATTTTAGTTATTTAATTCATCCAGACACGATACCACTACAAGAAACTCTCCCAAAATAATACATCGCTTTTCACTCGTCCCTAAAGCACTAAGATAAACAAACAAACAAACGCCGTTTACCCTATTCAAACCACAGGTATTGGACCCTATTTACATCCTGAAAACATTTATTTTTATCCTTTCTCCCATCCTAAAGTCATTTCCATTTGCCGTGCGCAAACATCATCCTAATTTTTAAAGCCAATGATATTACTTATTTATCAAATTATTACGCTTTTTCACGCCTCCATCAAATGCACTATGTACATGAATCGTTTTTACATCCTCATAAACATCACTCAAACCACAAGTCATTGTCACTCAGAGGCAGACCTTGACAGACGTATTTTTAGTAAATGTCAAAGTTTTTCACAGAGACCCACACAAAAGACAGAACAAAAAGATCACCAAATTGCTGGCAAAGTCACTCACCATTTTCTCTTTTTCAAACTCAGTCCCTGTTTCCTCTCTACATACCCTTTATCTTCCTTGATCGACATCTAACTCCACTACATGATTCTTCCGCGACGGAAGCTTATTTTGCAGACCCTCACGAACCACTAACGACTTAACAAATTAACCTCTAGTCCACTGATCACGCATAACATCACGCGAAACCGTGTGCTGCAAAATCGCTTTTTGGCAGAGTACTCACAAGTAAATACTGAGACGTCCAATAAATAGCAAACATGAAATTAATTGCACAAATAGGCAGTATATACCAACAAAAACGACAACAACCGTAGGGTTCCCGAGGAGAAACACAGACAATGGCACCACCATCAACACCGACCCTATAATTACATTGTTCCAACACTAGAGTGTTTTGCTGCTGTTTGGGACGAATATACGAAATCCAGCATAAACAAACCTGAAAACATTAACACCGGGGCTGGAGGGACCATTGCCAGTTATGCAGACGATTACAATACACATAAAAACACCAGAATAAAGTCCCTGAAAATGAGGAAACAAGCACAGAGAGTGCACATGATTTTTAGAATTACAAAAACTACATCATCACTGAGAAACAGGAGTACTCACACCTTTTCAGTACCAGAAATGCATTCAATTCACACCCTTAGGAATTCACAACACACCACACCAACGGAGACTCGTACATGCGTTCTTTCTTTCCACGTTCCCGGTTGTTGTACGAACCAAGGTCTATATAAGTACTTATATAGACCTTGGTACGAACAGCCTTCCATAGCATAATCGACTCGTTCACAAACTTACACAACAACCTTATGACCACGCAGCATAAACAATTTGCCTCACCTATCCTTTTTAAGTCTTCCTCTTAGAGATTGAATGAATAAGATATAACCAGTTTCACCATCTTTTAAAGTGAAAACCATGTGCGTCTTCTGTAACGTCCTTACCTCTTAAAACCGTATTTAGTTTAATCCTAATCCACCGTGTCCGTACCGAAGACGACACTCTCCGCTGCCAGACGGCGCGACAATAATGTTCAGTTAAAACTGTCGTACTCACTATTCTATCACCACCGTTATCATGTAAACATGTCAGAGAGAAATGTCGCGCGTGAAATTCGCTCTTTTGGGAGATTTCGTTTTTTTTTTTTTTTTTTGTAATGTCATGTTTTTGGTAATCATATTTAAGAAACTATTTTAGACATCTCTTAGGTTTCAAAATATCTATTATATTTAATGTGTATTTCATGAAACTGAGACACTAATGTTTTCATATTGCTAATTATCTTATGCCCTTTTTTATCTCTGCACTGCTTTGCCTCCTAATTGTTTAAAGTGTTCTGTAAATAATATAAACTTCTCAGATGCTTCTGAGGACCACCTTTTCCTTCCCTTCATCCCAGACGTACCTACATGATTGAAGACAAGGCATTAAAAACTTATTCATATTATTAATCAATTCTTTATGCCTCCCAATGTTCCCAAAATTGAAACGTAAGACTAGCATCATACCAAAGTGAGTTCGTACCTCTATTTCCTGTACACATTTCTTCAAGATTATCTGTTTCAAATATGAAGTTAATGGACTGTCTCTTTAAATTTCTATCAATTCTTGTGATGTTCTCGGTCTGTGATATAGTGATGGTTCTGCCCTCTGCTGTTGATGTGAAGATCCTGGTCTCGTATTT